GTCTCCTTACTGTCTCCTTACTGTCTCCTTACTGTCTCCTTACTGCCTCCTTGCTGTCTCCCTGCTGTCCCCTTTCTGTCTCCTCGCTGTCTCCTTGCTGTCTCCTTGCTGTCTGTCTTCTTTGTCTCCTTGTCCCTCTCTTTCTGCCTCCCTGCTGTCTCCTTTGTCTGTGTTGTCTCCTTGTCTCCTTGTCTCCTCTGTCTCCTTATTTCCTTTGTCTCCTTGTCGCTTCTATCTGCTGCTGCAGCTTGTGTCTCCTTTATGTCTTTCTATCCCCGCTGCTGTGTCTCTGCTGCTGCTTGCTGCGCCTCCTCACTCTTCCCCTTTGTCTCTATTCGCGCTTCTGCTTTTGTCTCTGTCTCCCTCTGTCTCCTTTCGTCTGCTAGCATCGCTGCCTCTGTCTACTGTCTCCTTGGTGCATCTCTCAGCCTCCCCATGCTTCTCTCTTCCCTGCTGCTACTGCTGCTGTTGCTTCTGCTGTTTCTACTGCTGCTGCTACTGCTGCTGCTGCTTCTGCTTATTTGTTTTATTATTGCAGAGACTTATTACTTAGCGAATCCTACTTTTTGCTGCTAACAATTCGTCTCCTCAAAACACCCCCAGTCGCTCACGCCAACAGAGGCCCCTCACCCGCTGCTGTGGGGGCCCCTGGGGGGCCCCCTATAGGGGCCCGCGTGGAGGCCCCTGGGGGGGCCCCTGGGGAGGCCCCTGGGGAGTCCCCTAGGGGGGCCCCTGGGGAGTCCCCTAGGGGGGCCCCTGGAGAGTCCCCTAGGGGGGCCCCTGGAGAGTCCCCTAGGGGGGCCCCTGGGGAGGCCCCTAGAGGGGCCCCTGGGGAGGCCCCTGGGGGGGCCCCTGTGGGGGGCCCTGAGGGAGCCCCGAGTGGGTATAAGGGGTCATCATTATGGGCATTGGAGGAGAGGGAGCGTCTGCGTTTTGTAAATCGGTTTGTGCTGTCTCTTTATGAAGATTTGGGGGCCTTACTGCAAGCAAATGCAGCTACACAGCTTAAGAAGATAAGACTGCTGTGCATGCAGGCTATGGAAGATGTCTCTAAACTCAATGAATATGTAAGCAGCAAAAAGAGATATGCAGAGACAATTGGATAGATAAATAAAAGGAGACAGTCTGATGGTTTAGAGGAGACAGTTATGTGGATAAGAGGAGACAATTAGATGGATAAGAGGAGACAGCTGGGTAGAGAAGAGGAGACAGTTAGAAGGATAAGAGGAGACAGTTAGGTAGATAGGAGGAGACAGTTAGGTAGATAAGGGGAGACAACTAGATATATAAGAGGAGGCAATTAGATATATAAGAGGAGACACTTAGATAGATAAGAGGAGACACTTAGGTAGATAAGAGGAGGCAATTAGATATGTAGGAGGAGATTTGATATGTAGGACAATTTTTGATATATAGGAGGAGACACTCTCAAGCACTGAAGCTATAAAGGGGGTGGCTGTTGAACAGACAGGAGGAGACACTCGGAGACAACAGCAGTCGCAGCAGCAGCAGCAAAATAAAACGAAAGCAGCAGCAGCAAAGCAAAACGAAGTGCAGCAGACACCTGCAGATTGAGTATTACACTTGGATAGAGAGGAGACACTTTGATGGATAGAGGGAGAGACATGGGGATAAAGAGGAGACACTTAAAAGCACGTAGAGCGGTAGGGGGAGACAGTATGAGTTGCATTCACTTAGAGACACTTAGAGATGTTGTTCGCGCTGCAAGTGTCTCCTTTTTGCCTCTCCTGTCTCCTCGTTTTTTGTCTCCTCCTCCTCTCTCCTGTCTCTCCTTTATATGTCTCCTCCTTGGGTCTGCTGTCAGTGTTTGAAATGTCTCCTTATTGTGCTGCTTGTCTGCGCCTTACGTGTCTCCTTCTCGTGTTTATGGGGTGTATGCGTCTTAAGTGTCTCCTTTTGTGCTGCTGCTGCGCTGCAGGCGGAGTCTATGAAGCCTTTGTTTGACAGAGACTTCTTTGCTTTTCTTTTAACTGCTATTCAAGAAGAAAGAAGAGCTATTGCGTTCGTCTCTTCTTTCTTTAATGTTCAATGCTGCAGCAAACAGACACTAAAGGAGACACCAGCCCACATACCTCAAGCAGCAGCAGCAGCAGCAGCACTATCAGCAGCAACACCAGCAGCACCTTCAGCACAAGCAGCAGCAGCAGCAGCAGGACAAGCAGCAGCGGCATTACCACGAGCAGCACAATCAGCAACCCAAGCAGAAACAGCAGCAGCAGCAGGGCGAGCAGAAGCAGCAGCAGCAGCAGCAGGAGCAGCAGGGGCAGCAGGAGCTTATGTTGCTATGTGTTTGCTGCTGCAGGTCTCAGGGGCTAAACCCCGATGCAGCGCCGAGCCAGTGGCTGTTGGTGTTGTTAGTAATCCAAAAGGGAGTAATGTCTCTCTTTGAACACGAAATCAGAGAAGTCAGACAATTCACATGCATGCATGCATGCATGCATGCATGCATGCATGCATGCATGTAGAGCAGTCTGCATGCATGCATGCATGCATGCATTTTCAGCAGCCTGCACGCATGCATGCACAGCAGCCTGCATGCATGCATGCATGCATGTACGACAACCTGCATGCATGCATGCAAGCATGGGTGCATGCATGCATGCATGCATGCATGCATGCACATTGTTTGTTGCTTGGGTACGTTTCAGGATGTGCTGGACTTGGGGTTTATTTTGGTGCAGCAGCAGCCGGATGTGCGGCGGCGTCTCCTCGAGTTGTGGATAGCGCGGCTGCCTAAGTGCGACTGGAGACAATTTAAACACCTGGGCCTCAAGATTGCTGCTGCCTTCAAAAACGGGTCAGGCACTCGCGCTGCTGCTCCTGCTGCTGCTGCTGCTGCTGCTGCTCGTGCTGCTGTTGCTGCTCTAGCTAGTGTTGGTGCTGCTGCTCTAGCTGGTGTTGCTGCTGCTGCTGCTGTCCTAGCTGCTCTTGGTGCTGTTGTTGTCCTAGCTGCTGTTGGTGCTGCTGCTGCTCCAGCTGCTTTTTCTGCTGCTGATGGTCTAGCTGCTGCTGCAGCTACGTACTCTGTTGTTGCTGTAGCTGCAGAGTGCGCTGCTACTGCTACAGCTGCTGCTAAAGCCGCTGCTCTTTGCTGTGCTGCTGCTGCTGCTGCTGCTGCTGTTGCTTCAGCCACTACACCTCTGCTGCTATATCTGCATACCCGTGGCTGCCTGCTGCAGCGCAGCAGCTGGGGAGAGACCTGGAGCAGCTGCTGCCGGAGTGGCTGATAGAAGGGATGCTGTCAGACTATGATCGACACGTCATGAAAACCCTCTTGGTAAACCCTAAACCCTAAACCCTAAACCCTTGCTGTCCAGGGGTCTCCTTGTATCCTCGATGCCGGGGCCTTTCTGCGTTGGAGACACCTCTCGCTGCTCAGGATTGATGGTTTAGGGTTTAGGATATAGGGGTTAGGGTTTAGGGTTTAGGGTTTACGTTTGCCTTAGGCAAAGCGGCCTTTCCTCTTTGGAAGCGTTGAGGAGCCCAAACCACCGGAGGCTGGAAGCCCTGAACATATTAGTACAGCGGTGAGCTCTAAACCCTAAACCCTAAACCCTAAACCCTAAACACTTCTCTCTCCGGTGGTCCCTACGCTCCCGCGCAGCAGCAGTGGGCAGCAGCACCTGCTGCAGCACCATTTGGGGTCAATGCTGCTATGCTTCTTTGCTGCTGCTGCTGCTGCTGCTGCTGCGGTTGCTGCAGGCGAGCAAACATCTGCTGCAGCAGATCGAGGAAGCAGCAGTAAGTCGGCTACTGCGCAGGTGTCTCCAAACTGCAGCACGGAACACGAGACACCTCAGGCACACTCCCTAGCCAGCTATAGCTAGCTAGCTAGCTAGCTAGCTAGCGTAATTACTCATTGTGCTGGGCTGCTGGCCCCCTTAGGGGTACGAGAAAAACCTCTTCAAAGGGTTTAGGGTTTAGGGTTTCAGTGCAGCTGCGAGGGTTTGCGTTGTCTCCGTAGGAAGCCTTTAAAGAAAGGCCGATACTACACGAGAGGACAGGAGAGGCAGTATCCTAGACAGCAGCAGCTGCAGGAGCAGCTGCTGCTGCTGCAGCTGCTGCTGCGGCAACAACTCTTGCTACTGCAGCTACTGCTGCAGCTGCTGCTGCAGTGCTGCAGCAGCAGGACAGGAGGGGCTGTCTCTTCGCCGGCAGCTGCACCAACAGCTGTTGCAGCATCTGCTGCTGCTAAAGCTGCTGCTGCGGTAACAACTCTTGCTACTGCAGCTGCTGCTGTTGCTGCTGCTGCAGTGTTACAGCAGCACCGGGGGCTGGCGTCCCTTAGGGAAGCCCCCAGTGTCTCCGTTTGATTGTACCGCAGCTGAGACTCAGCTAGCTAGCTAGCTGACAAGCCAGCTCGCCCACTAAGTAGCTGGCTAGCTAACTAAGTAGCTAGCTAGCTAACTAGCTAGCTACCTGCTAAACTAACATCTCATTGTTTGTGTGCATAAGAACCCAGTTAGTAACTCAGAATAAATAAGAGAAAGGAGACAGTTAGGGGCTAGGAAACAAAGAGAGAGACAACAGTGTACAAGAGAGAGGCAGCAGCAGCTCAGAGACAGACAGCCCTCTCTCTGTGTCTATCTGCTGCAGCAGCCCTCAAGTGTCCCCTTTTCGTTGAGGTGTCTGTCTCCTTTTGCTGCCTACGAAGAGCCTAATGAGCGCCCCTCCTTATCCCGAGTGTTTCCTCTCCTTGTCTGCTTCTTGCTGTCTCCTTTTGCTGCACTAAGTGTCTCCTCTCATAATTTACTTTATCTGCTCTTGCTGCTCTAACTGTCTCCTCTGCTGTACACATAAATACCTTAAGACTTGCCTTTAGCTTGTGCTGTCTCTTCTATAAGTAGTAAATGTACAATTATAAGAAAACAAACAAAGGAGACACTAGAAGACATCACTCTGATTATGATGTCTCTTCATACTCTTTCTCGCAGCCTTAGATATATAAAGCAAAGTTTTAACAACGAAGTTCTGCGCAGTAAAAGAGGCCATAGGGGGGCCCCCTGGGGGGGGGCCCCCCTGGGGGCCCCTCTTATGGGTATAAAGCTGCTGCGGTTGAAGGCACGGAGACAGGAGACAGCAACATCACCTCCTGTCTCCTTATTGCTGCGCGTCTCCCCGCAGCAGTTCTTCTTCTGTTGTTTAGCGGTACTGCAAACAAAGAGACAGACAAAAGAAAAAGAAAGATATGCCTCTTAACAGACCTTCATATGCATGCACAGATAGTGGGGTGTACGTACACCTGAGAAGGCCTCAAGTGTCTCCTCACCTTCTGGAAGCCAATCAAAGCCGCCCTCTCTCTAAAGCACTGGCGGCACATGTTAATACCGTACTTCCGTACCATACCGTGTCTGTTGAAGCACACACGGCTGCAGCAGCAGCAGCAGCAGCAACAGCAGCAGCAACAGCAGCAGAAGAAGCAGGAAGAGAGGGATTAAGCGATTGCGGTGAGGAGACAAAGGAGACACAAACAATATGCAGAGGGCCCTGCTGCTGCAGGGCCCTTGTATATACAGCAGACACTGCAGCTATCAGCTGTAGCCTCAGGAGGTATCTACGCTGTACATACACCCCAGAGATGCAGCAGCAGCAGAAAAGAGACATCCTAACGCTAAAGAGGAGACACGAGAACAAGAATAGAGACATAAGGCCCCACCCCACAGCATGCAAGGAGGGCTGAGGAGACAGAAGCAGCAAACGGAGACAGTGAGAGAGTATTTAAAAAAGAAAGGCGTCAAGAAAGCCGCACAGAGGGCAGCAGATTAAGAGATAGCACACAAAACCCTAAACCCTAAACCCTAAACCCTAAACCCTCACCACTGGCGGCTACCGGGGCCGAACTTCTTGGGGCGTTTGTTGTAAGTAGTCCCCATTGTGATGAGGAGAAAAGCAGCAGAAGCAGCAAATTATAAAATAAAGAATAATGCGAGCTTCAGCAAGATGGATGCAAGAACAACAAACCACAAACCCCAGCAGCAGCAGCAGCAGCCATACAAACACCAGCAGCAGCAGCAGCAGCAGCAGCGGAAGCCCTGAGAGATGATTATGCATGTGGGGGTAGCTTCTGCAGCAGCAGCAGCAGCAGCCGCAGCCCCATCAGCAGCAGCCGCAGCAGCAGCAGCAGCAGCTGCTGCTGGTGCTGCTGCGGGTGCGGGGATGGCGGCTGCAGGCCCTACGAGGGGTTTCGGTTGCTAAGAGCAAACTGCAGCTAATATATATTTCTCTGCGCCTTTTGAATTTCAAGGAGCAGGTGAGGGTCTTTATTTTGTCTTTTGCTGCTGTTGCTGCTGCCGCCCCGGCAGCTGCTGCTGCCGCTGCTGCTGCTGCTGCTGCTGCTGCTGAGCCTGCAGAAGGCAGCGCAAGACTTGGGGAGGGTTCTGAGTCTTTATCGGTTGTGGGGTGTTAATACATTCGTTTGTTTATTCTTTACCTGCCTATACACCTCAAATCAAACCAAACGCAAGCGCAGCAGCTGCTGCAGCAGGCACGGGTGCCTTGCTGCGGTGTACGTACACTGCAGCTCTTCCTAGCAGACCATCTCTCTCCATTGCTGCATTTGATTCCGTTGTTGCAGCTGTTTAGACACCTGAGCAATGCAAGGGTCCCCGTGGGGCCCCCCTGCCGTGCTGGTGCTGCTGTGCTGTTGCTGCTGCGCTGTTGCTGCTGCTGCTGCTGCTGCTGCTGCTGCCTAGCTTATGGCGAGTAGCACGCGACAGCAGGGGGCGGGAGGAGTTGAGCAGCGACTCGCGACGAACAGTCGCAGCAGCAGCAGCAGGAGCACAGCAGCAGCAGAAGCAGCAGCAACACATTGTTTGGGTCTGCATGTGTGTGCATGTGGCTGCTGCTCTCTTCTTAGCAGCAGCAGCAGCATCACCATGATCTACAGCAGCAGCAACAGCAGCATCACATTCTTCATGTTTCGTTTGTGTTTTTTTTATGTGAGTAGGCGGAGGAGACAGAAGAGGGCGCGTGCGAGCAGCAGCAGCAGCAGCAGCAGCAGCAGGAAGAGGAGACGAAAGGCAGCAGAAGATGGCGGCCAGCGACTTTAAACTCTTTGGCCGGTGGCCCTATGATGATGTGAATGTCTCTGATCTGTCTCTTGTAGATTATCTCGCTATCAAGGGGAAGGCAGCAGTACTTACACCCCACACTGCCGGAAGGTGAATAAACAACTCCTTGCTGCTGCAGAAGCTCTTGCTGCTGCTGCTTCTGCTGCTGCTGCACCAGCTGTTGTTACTGTTGCTGCAGAAGATGTTGCTGCTGCTTCTGTTGTTGCTGTTAGTGTGTAGTTGCTGCTGCTTGCAATGCTGCCGCTTCTTGCGCCCATGTTGTATATGCAGTATATAGATGTATATATATATATATATATACATATTTTTAATTAGATATCTATATATCTATTATATATGCACTATGTATATATGCGTGTACATATACCTATATGTACACGCACATTATATATATATATATATATATATA